AAAAGTGTACGGCAAAGTTGAATAGGGCCTGGGCTGCTTTTGCCACCAGCTCATATAATTTGTCAGAAATCCATGCAACAATAAGTAGTATAACAAATTATCAATAGGAGGAAGGGGTTAAAACCTCAAAACATAGTAAACCGAAGTTTAAATTTTCATTGAGAGAAGTATCCGATAGTATTCAGACAAAATTGGCTACAAAAGAAGGATACTCATACAAGGCAAAAAAAGAAAAAAAAAATATAGGAAAATAAGTCATGAGAAAAAAAAAAGGGGATGAAAACAAATCTGGTTCTCAAAATTCACATAACAGACACACTATATATTGATAGCTTACAAACTACATGGCCTTTTCCAAACATTTCTGGCAAGTGCTCTTCGGTAAGTTTTTCTTAAACGGGAGTGCAGGACCAGCCTATTTGAAGGCAATGGGGACGCTTGCCCATATAATCCCTGGCTTTATTATTGCTCTCCCGACCATGTATTTCAAGGCACCGTGTTCTTTCACGTTAAAGGCCAAAAATTGTTTTTCCAAACGTATAAAAAAATAATAAAATATATTTAAGCTTCTCAGATAAAATTATGGACTCTGATTAAGGCATTCTTTAATTTTTCATTTTTACACTTTCATCAGATTATTTAAGTATACTAAAAATGATGTTCAAGTTGATTTAAAAGGGTGCTTGAATAAAAACCAAACAATGATTTCAAAATAGTTTTACGGTATATAAAGTAAATACGTGAATGAGTTTGTCTCGATTTGTAAAAAAATATTTTTCAGAAATTTTTATGTAATGCCAAATAAAAAAGTACTTTTCAAAATCACTTTTTATAATTTGAGATGATAAATTTCTCTACATATTTATTTCGTATATTATAAAAATATTTTTAAAACTATAGTTTTATTTTCATCCAAATATCCTCTTAACAAATATTAGATATGCTAATCCCACTTACAGATCCGTCAAAGCATGGGGAAGCCTTGTCGCTAGTGAAGTCGACATCCAATGAACGATATGATTACCTTCGGCTCTTGGCTAAACATCTCCATACGCCTGTTATTTTATTTTTTTCTCTTTTCTCTTTGATACAAAAAAGGGCTTGTAGCCCACACACAAATAGAAAACCCAGTGGGGACAATCACAGGCTCTCATCAAGCATCCATGATAGTACTTCCAGACAAACTTTCCTTTGCTAAAGCATCGGCAACTCCATTTTGTAGCCTTGACGTATGTGTGATTTTCAACCTCAAGAATACTCCAGATTGCCTCGGATTGTGTCCTCATCAAACTTCCCGTGTCATCAATGGGTACAGTGTTGATCACATCCACCAGATCCCTGGCGTCAGATTCCAGCATGACATTCCCAAAACCAAGGTCCCACGCAAGCATTAGCCCTTTAAAGATTACCCATCCCTCTGCTTTAAAAACTGTGCAATTTCCCAAAAAAAAAGAGTGAACAGTTATCCGAGCACCACGGCCATTCATTATAACTCGCCCGCAACCTGCTCGATTAGAAGATACAGCATCATTAACATTTAGTTTTATCCAAGCCACCAGTGGGTCCCCACCCTGCTTATATTTAATTGATGCTACTGCTTTTTCATGCTTAATATAGTGTCTATTTAATTAACTTAATTAGCTTAAAAATTAATCAGTTATAAAAATATTATCTTTTTTTTTAATTATAAAGATTCATTTGAAACTACAAACAAACAACTATAATCATCTTTCTTAAGATTTTTTCCTCTCTACTGATATAGTTGAGGAAAATGTATAAGGTTAATTTAAAGGAAAAAAAAATAAACATAAGAAATAGGCCTAACCGTTAGAACTGAATTCAACTCAACAATTAAGTTTATATTAAGAAGAGGAGGAATACTTATTAGAAGTTTTGTTATTATTATTATATTTATAAAAATGATATTGAAGAAATTTAGTGGGAAAGTAATAACAGTAAAAGAATCCTCACATTAAATCCAGCAGCTAAAGGCTAAGGCCAATGCTGATTGTTTAAATAACAGAGTAACATCATGAATGCCATGCAGCAAAGGCCGGGTTTTTAATTTTTTGTGTGTTTATCATTATTATTTTTGCCAACATTTTATGTATTTGTACACATCTTCTTCAACAGTGCCTTTCCCTTTCAACAACAAACAAGCTCGTATATCATCTTAAAAGGTGCTGGATCATACAAGGATAGGAACCGCACTCGACAGATTGCCTGCGTCAATTTTTATCAATTTTAAATTAAAGGCATGAACAAATCTTCACCTAGAAGTTTCTTTGTACCTACTCCCCAACGCAGGGGTCAATCCGCCTCCTCATCGAACTTGCCAAACCCTCATTGTCAATCAACTCAACGTCCACGGAGTGGGGCCTCTGTATTATGACTTTTTCTTTCCCTTGACTCAAATAGTTCCTTTTCATGCCTAAAAGAAAAGGATTGTCTTTTTTTTCTTTTTTCTTTTAATAATTCCATGCTTTAGAAACTAAATAAGTCATATTATTCATCCCTGTAAAATGTACAATGTGGCATAAATATTGTTATATTTATTGATGATTTATTTATTATTTATAAATGTTTTGTTATATCAATTAATAGGAATAAGAGATGGCCAATTACCAATAGGAATTACGAGGAAGCATACAGGCAGCGGAAAACCGTCTAAAAAGCTAAAAGGTTGACTCATGAACAGCGAAGTTCGGATCATGCGGGGTGATGGGTCATGGGAATTAGAAACCCAAAGTGGTAATTTAGAATAAAAATCAAATTATCAAATTAATCATAAAAGGAAATTTTAAACATTAATTTGGCATCATCACCATAAGACTTGAACATTTTTAAGCAGCAAGAAAGACGAAACAAATAAACAAAGGAACGCACAGCGACGATTAATTAATGGCTGAAAGCATGTGCTCTGCTAGTATTTGTAATTGTAATACGACGTAGACGAAGAAGGGTAATGAAAGTCGTCAGAGAATAAATGGTCAAAAAAATAAAGAAGAGTCGTCAAAGAACTGAAAACGAACGAGGGAGATTGGGAAAGTTCGTCCGTACGAGGAGGTTGTGTGGGACCATCATAGAGAGAGGTCCAATCAGGAGGAGGTGATGTGGGAGGGAGAATTGGATTCCGATTTCCTAAGAAAGGCGGAATCAAAAGGAGGGAGGGAGGGGAGGGAGGAAAGCAAGTGCAGTAAGCAATGGGATTCGTTGGTCGTTGGGTTATAGGGATAAGTGAAAACGCGTAATTCAGATGACAAAGCATAAAGGGCGATTCTTTTAGTTTTTTTTCTTCCCAATTCAGTCTGATGAAGGAGCAAAAAAAGTCTGGGGAAGGAGCATCGAGGAAGTTTCGGTTTCCTCCAGTCCTAAGCGATGTTTAGTCAGCCAAACTGAGCTGATTGGCTGAAGACGGAGGATGCCAGGGAACTTTGCTTTTTAAGTTCAGTAATAATAATAATAAATAAATAAATAATAATAAAAAGTACTACTTCAGTAATAAACATAAATTTTGGGGGAGGGGGGATGGAATAAAGAAACACAACAATGAAAAGGGGGAGAGAGAAAAGGTGAGAGTGGGTTTTGTGAGGGAGAGGGAGAACGAGTGGGAGTGGGAGGCAAGGAAGGAATACGAATGCGAGGGAGATGTGGGGTGCGGTGCTGACATCCGTACTTAGAAAACATCGGGGTGGTGATCACGGCCCCATCTGCAGCGGCGGCTCCTTCTAGGCTTTTTAATTCCGGATTGTCGCCTACGCTCTGAGCTCTCCCCCCTTCCACGCGCTATGCCTGCTTTGCTCACCCGTTCCCATCTCCCCCCCCTTTCTTTTTAGCCACTGCCGCTCCTCCTCCTCTTTCTCCTCTCTTGTATTTTCAATAACTCCTATTATACCATAACAGTAATAAATATTCAAAATCACTTGTTTTTATTTGCATATTAAAATAAAATAATCACTTTGTTATTTCTTGCAATATCAATATACTCCTATGAAAGTAATTTACTTAAAATACAATAAAAATAACATAGCATCTATAATACAGTATTTCATGTCTTTTTTCCCCCCACGACAGCGTCCCATAATTCCACTTCGGCTAATGGACAGGTTAAAAGGCGGAATTAAAGAGCCTGCGGGTCTGTGATTGCCATTTGCCATTTGTCATTTGGGACGATTCGGGGGTATTTGGATAGAAGCCGAACCATAGTTTCAGAAGTGTTTTTACAGATTACGAAGTAAATATGTGAAGGAAGTTACCTCGTTTTGCAGAAAAGTGATTTGAAACTGTGGTTTTAGTTTTACCAAACACCCCTCTCAGTTTCTGGGAATGCGTCTCCTGCCTCACTCTATTCTTATTGTCTACTATTCTGCTACCCTCCTGTAACGTCCTACCCATTCCCCGCATACAATTTATTTGTCGCCCCTCGTAAGAGTTTAAACATAAAAATAAATTTGTAATATTTATATTTACTCAATAACTATGAGAGCCGTTACAGCTCTTACATTTTCTGAATTGTTATTCCTCTATTCTACATTATTATTTTATAAACAAATAAAATAAAATTGAGACTGAACTCCATGATTTTTCATTTGTCATAATTCATTTTCACATTCACATTATATCATATTCCCTGTAATAAAATATAAAATTATCCAAACTATAATTTTCCCCATGTGAGAGAGTGAGAATATTCTAGAAGAAGATACACTTCTGCATATTTGGAAAGCTGGACTATAATTTTAAAAATATTTTCTTAATATATTAAATAAATACATAAAAATGTTTTTTAAAAGCTGTTTTTGTACGTTCCCAGACACCACGGCGAGGCCACCCGCAGAGAGAGAGAGAGAGTCACATTTGATATTTCCACGTCCCTCATTTTTTGCTTTCCACTTTACACGTCCGCGATTATTGGGTTTTATTTCCCTTCTCGTTTATAAACACTCAAATCGTCGCTGAAGTTTCTTCACTGGTCTCCTTCGTCTTCCCTCTCTGTCCATGCAGGTTGGACCTTCCTGTTCTTTACACTATTCACTCCTCGCGATCTTCACCAAAATCACACACTCTCTCCCACAGCTTTCTTGTGACTCCAGTTTTCCATCACAATGCCTCGTCGTGGTCGTGGAAAGCAACCAGAAGTTCGCCCCCATCAATCGTCCCCGACCGCATCCCAATCTGCCCCCGGTCGAGATGTTGCTGGAGGCAGGCCGCAAGCCGGACCCGGACGTGGCGCTGCATCTGTATCCGCGACGCCTCCTCCTCCGACTGCGGCCGTTACTCAAGATGCTCCGAGTGCTGAGTTGGGGCGTTTAACGTTGCAGACTCCGGCTCCCTCATCGTCAAAGGCCACGAGATTTGCTGACCGACCAGATTTTGGTAGAATGGGGAAAAGAATTCAAGTTCGTGCAAATCACTTTCTCGTTGAGGTGGCTGATAAGGATCTTCATCACTACGATGTCAGTAAAACCGACACCTTATGTTTTAATCGAATGAAATACTTCGGTGATTATTTTTGCTCAGTGGCTTGTCTTCATAGGACTCTAAAAAATGCAAGTCTGTTCTGTTTCCTTGTTTATTTGTTTATATGCTTCATTAGTTTGTTCGCATTTCATCTCACTTTTCTGTTCCTTGTGTGCTATTGATGCTGACGAGTGGTCTGTAGGTGGAAAAATTTGTGCGTATTTTCTCAGTCTCTTATAATTGACGATCGCTTTGCTTATCTGGTTGCTATAATACATCCTGCATTTGTACTACCGTTGTTCTCTGTTTGATTATTAATTCATTTTTTGAAAGTTTTTACTTGGATGTTTACATTATGTCTGGTCACCGCTGCGTTTTATTACATATCTCCGGTAACTGGAAGGGCTCTGTTCCTTATACGTCTTTGGGAGGCTGACGATTTGATTTTGGGATTAGGTATCTATATCTCCAGAAATTACTTCGAAAAAGATCTCTAGGAATGTCATGAATCAACTAGTCCAGCTGTACAGGGAGTCACACCTGAACAAGCGAACACCAGCTTATGATGGCCGGAAGAGTCTTTATACAGCAGGCCCTTTGCCGTTCTCGTCAAAGGAATTCGTGGTTAAGTTGGTAGATAGCGATGAACAAGCCAGTTCTTCCGGTTCAACGAGGTGTGTTTTTTCAAGCGCCTGGATTGATTAATCCGACTGTTTTTTTTTTCTTTTTTAAATAAATCCGACTTTGTCGCACGATACAATGTTTATTTCGTAAATGTCTAATTCCTTTTTGAAACACAGGAACAAACGTGAGCGCGAGTTTAAGGTCACGATTCGTTATGCTTCCAAGGCTGATCTTCACCATTTGCAGCAGTTTCTAAGATGTCGACAGCTGGACAATCCACAAGAAACAATTCAAGCACTCGATGTTGTCCTCAGGGCATCACCATCTGAGAAGTGAGTGCATTACTTTATCTATATTTTTTTCCCTGCCATGTGTGCATTCTAGTGTCAATCTATGGCTTCTCTTTATTGAAGTTACCTCGTCAACTTTTCGCCTGTAGGTATACTGTTGTCGGTAGATCTTTTTTCTCACCAAGCTTGGGTCAGACTGGCGAGCTTGGTGATGGAATAGAATATTGGAGAGGATATTATCAAAGCATCCGGCCGACCCAGATGGGACTTTCCCTTAATATTGGTTCTGCTTCATTTCATGTTCATATGTTTTATCCATTAATTGAATTAATTATTAATTACTGATATCTATATGGTGATTCGTGTTCAGATTTTAAGTTAGTTTCCTGTCTTTGACCAGTAGTGATAATCCTTTTGTTGCAGATGTATCAGCAAGGGCATTTTATGAAGACATCTTTGTGACTGACTTTATTGCAAAGCACTTTAATTTTAATTTTTCAAGGCGTCTGTCTGATCAAGACAGAATTAAGGTATTTATATCCTGATTCTATGATGTTGATTTTAGCGTATATGTGTTTTGTGCCACAAATTGATGCTTAATTAATGCTCTTGTGTCCTCTTCTGTCACACTCAGATTAAGAAAGCCTTAAGAGGAGTGAAGGTAGAATTCACTAATGGTCAGTGTACTAGAAGTTACAAAATTACTGGAATCTCCAAAGAACCACTGAGCGAGTTGATGTGAGCTTGTATTTTAGCTTTTTTTCATTGCTTTTATCATTTATTTTATCTTGTGGCTTTGATAAATTGATTGTTCACTTCATAAAAGCAAAGTAAGTCACACTTGTAGGTGAATAAAAGCTTAATTTTGTGGCATTTGCTGACCTGGAATAAGAAATTTGCATAATGATGCATGAGTATGTCTTGTATAATCTAATCTGGAAGTTCATTTTGGCGTTTCTTAGGTTTACTCTCGATGACAAGAGAACAAAAATAACTGTTGTTCGTTACTTTCGTGATAAATACAATGTTGAGCTCAAGCATTTGTCTCTTCCTGCCCTCCAAGCTGGGAATGATACAAAACCTATTTATTTGCCTATGGAGGTTTTTCTCTTCATTTTGCTTCATTTGTACATCCTGCCTCATTAATTTTGTGTTTGACTTCAACTTTGTTTAAGAAGTTGTTCCTTCACCTTGTAGCTTTGCAAGATAGTTGCTGGGCAAAGGTACACAAAGAAACTGAATGAGAGGCAGGTAACCGCCCTTTTGAGAGCAACCTGTCAACGACCTTCTGACAGGGAGAAGGACATTAGAGAGGTGCATTTATATTGTGTATTCGATGTATTACCGTAGGTTTTTGGATTCAATATTTAACTTTATTGCATTGCAGATGGTCAGGCGTAACAATTTTAGCAGAGACAGGCTTGTACACGAATTTGGTATTAACGTGAATGAACAACTGGCAGTGTGTGATGCACGTGTTTTGCCTCCTCCAAGGGTAAAAATGGCTTCAACCTTGATGGATGTGTTGGAAAATCATGTTTCCTTTTTTTTTTTTTTTCATTTTTAATCTTTCTCGTTCATGCAGCTTAAATATCATGAAACTGGGAAGGAAGCAGTTGTTGAACCCTGGAGGGGCCAGTGGAATATGATAAACAAGGTGAATTGTTTTGTTGTTTCCATCACTGTTGTGTAAAATCCTAATTAAATGGAAAGAATGTATTTGATTTCTGGAAAGACATAATCTTTTCTGGTTATTTCACTGCGCTAATCTTTTCTGGTAATTCTTTAGAAAATGTTTGATGGTGGAAAAGTGCAATATTGGACTTGTCTCAACTTTTCTACACGGGTGAACAGAGATTTGCCTGGTCAATTCTGTAATGAGTTGGTAAATATGTGCAGCAGTAAGGGAATTGTAAGTTTTAGTCTATTTATGCTATCTCATTGCTTGACGATCTCCTGTCCCAATTCACTAACAATTCCATTTTACCGGATTGGGATGTGTTAGGTTTTCAATCGAACCCCATTACTTCCTATAAGGTCAGCTCATCCTGGCCAAATAGAGGGACTTCTCAGAGATGTCTACAAGCAATCTAATGGGAAACTTCAGCTGTTGATTATAATCTTGCCTGACATTAAAGGTTCCTATGGTGAGCGTTCCGATCTAAACTGAAATTGGAAACTCAGAATTTGGTTTGGTCTATTGCTTTTTAAAATGTCACGTGGTTCTTGCAGCAAAGATTAAACGGATTTGTGAAACAGAATTGGGAATAGTGTCTCAATGCTCTCAGCCAAAGGAAGCTTCAAGGCTTAATAAGCAATATCTTGAAAATTTGGCCCTCAAGATCAATGTTAAGGTTAATTTTATCTAAGGCCTGGCTTAATTAGTAGCTAAGTTGATTAATTCTAAGTTTTAAATATTTAATTGATTATATCAGGTTGGGGGGCGCAATACAGTGTTGATCGATGCAATTCAAGGGAAAATTCCTCATGTGACTGATCGCCCTACTATAATATTTGGTGCGGATGTAACACATCCTCAGCCAGGGGAGGACTCAAGCCCTTCTATAGCAGCTGTAAGCTCTCCGTTCCACATGATAAATTTTGGTATACGCAAGCAATGTCTCGGTCATGTATAAATGATTTTGTTTGATTATTGAGTAAAACGTACAGGTAGTGGCATCCATGGATTGGCCGCAAGTCACCAAGTACCGTGGAATTGTTTCAGCCCAGTCTCACCGTGAAGAAATTATATTGGATCTCCATAAAACTTTTCAGGATCCTCAGAGGGGAGTTGTACACGGCGGAATGATTAGGTAGGGGTAAGATGCGCATTTACTGCCACATCCGTCAGGGGTGTTTACTCTTCATCAATCTTTCTTCTTTTTCTCTTTTTGGCAGAGAGCTACTTGTTGCATTCTATAAATCAACCAGGCATAAGCCAGACAGGATATTATTCTACAGGTAAATTTGGGTGAAGAGATGCATACGTTTAATATGGTATTTATATTTAAATTTGTGTGCCATTTTAAGTATTCTAATTCTTCCTTCAATTTCAATTTTTGCTTGAAAGAGATGGAGTTAGTGAAGGCCAATTCAGTCAGGTTCTACTTCATGAGATGGAAGCTATAAGGAAGGTATTGCTTAAGAGATATATATATGTGTGTGTGTGTGTATGGTTGAAGGTTTAAGATGATTTAAGTTTGCATTGAAGTTGCTAAAATTGGGTTTATCTTATAAAAATAGAGCAGCATTAATAGAATGTCCTGCAAATCGAGACCTTGAGGGATATTGGTCAGCAAGGGGGAAAAAATTGCTTTGCTTGTGGATGAATGCATGAAGTAGTCATTTTAATTTTTTATGGTTGATCAGGCTTGTGCCTCATTGGAGGAAGGATATCAGCCAAGAGTAACCTTCTTGGTGGTACAGAAAAGACATCATACCCGATTCTTTCCTGTTGATCATAACAGTCGTGACCAGACCGATAAAAGTGGAAATATTTTGCCAGGTGTTAGATTTTCTCTTTATTACGCCATGTTTTTTTTCACTCGTATAGCTGTTTGCTTTAGTTCTCTTTAGCGGTCTACTTCTGTGACTTTTCAGTTTGGATTCGGCTTATTGATTGGGTGTTTTGTTTATCTATTAAGGCACTGTTGTTGATACTCGTATCTGCCATCCCAGAGAATTTGACTTTTACCTTAACAGCCATGCTGGAATTAAGGTGATGTTATGAATTGACTAAAACTGTACTGGTTGATTATGAATTGTTAGAAAAGTTAGATTAACACTTTGTATTTTGATCCAGGGAACTAGCCGACCTACACACTATCATGTGCTGTTTGATGAGAATAATTTCAAGGCTGACGAGCTCCAGATGTTAACAAACAACTTGTGTTACACGTAAGTTTTTAATCTAACACCTATAGATCACATCTCTCACCTCCATCCCCCATTTCCTTTTTAGTTTTATCATTTGGGTTGGTTAAGGAGCTTTGTCTTAATTACTTTGCTACATTCTTTTTTTTTTTTCCAGGTATGCAAGGTGCACTAGATCGGTGTCTATAGGTATTTTTGAAAGGAAAAAAAATGTTATTTTCTGATTGTTGCATTAGTTTTCCAAACGAGTATATACATATCAATTTGTCTCTCTGCTGAAGTAAGAATGTTTGTTGCAGTACCTCCTGCTTATTATGCACACTTGGCTGCTTTCCGTGCTCGATACTACATTGAAGGCGAGACATCAGATGTGGATTCTGGAAGTGGAAGTAGGAGCACTAACGTGGTGCTAACTCTTCCAGCGATTAAGGACAATGTCAAGGATGTTATGTTTTATTGTTAAAGCTGTTTCATTTTAGTAATTTGGGTAGACTATGAGATGCACAGACCACCGCCTTGTTCTCCTTACTAGTATATGAAGCTTGATTTATGTACTGGTAATTTTGGTTAGATTATGAGATGCAAAGAACTCGTGGCTTTTTTATTTGAGGAATGACCCATCTTGATTACTGTTTATAGTAGATATTTAAATTTCATATATTATTTTTGTTGGCATGGATTTAAGTTCTTATGGAAGCTGAAAAGTCGATATTGAAGTATGTTTAGTTGAAAATACATTCGAACCCCATTTGAAATTTTCCCTTGATTTGATGTTGAAGGAGTACAAACTTGTTTTGTTTTTCAATTAATATTTTCTGGTCAATTAACCAGCGACCTTTAAGAATTGAGATGGGAAGAGGCAAATCTCTTCTTAAGAGAAAGTCATACCTCGGGGTTTAATAAAATTCTACGTCATTGCTCCAATTATATTTAGGGAAAAATTAGTTGTATAACATTTATTCCAGTTGCCTTGCACACCATATTTCTGTCTTGCAAATCAATGTTCATAGTAAATTAGTTAATAATTTCCTGGTCAACTGTTTTTAACCAATGTTGGCCGTCTGTTTCTTTATCAATATTTTCTGGTTAATTGTTCTAAAAATTAAAATTAAAACCAATAACAAAAACAATTCATAACAACTCCCGCGGGATAAAAGCCGCCCGCGTACAATTAAGGCCCGGCTTGGAATTATATTTAGACATCTATATTGCACATAATTTGAGACTCCTTTGTGTTCCCTAGATCACAGGGTCCAAAGTGGCTGGCAGAATGAGTGGGACATAAGCTGGCACTAAGTGAATGACTCAGTGCACAAAGTCAAAACGCAATTTTTTTAACATGGCACAAGAAGGCTTCTTTTGTTTTAAAAAAAATGACGTTACTCTACGGCCTTGATGCATTGGCAATAAGACCAGCGCCTTTTTGGTTTTTATCATCATCATCATGAAACACTAACTTGTCTGGGGAAAAAGAAAGTATGACTCTGTATCTGCGAGCTAAGTGTACTTTAGTTTACAATGCTACAGAAACTTAGAAATAAAAGCCCTAATCAGTAGCCTGATTTCAGCAAGGCTGAAAGGAGAGAATTAGAACCCATACCTGAAAGGGGCGAACCTAGAGTGCCGAACGCAGGCACAAAGCCGGAGCTTAATGCGAACAAGAACTATCTTGCGGGGGAAAGACAGGAAAAAAAGTACCAAGTATATGAAGAAATACACACACACACACACACACACACTCATCTATCCTCTCATTTTCGTATAACTTTATCTCCTTGTATCCCCAAACATGAACAGCAGGAACTAATACAGATTAGAAGCCACAATCAAAATAATAAACATGCTGACTTGCCGATTGCCACAATTATGCCCCGGCAAGAGAATAATATACAAAGAAAGAAAAAAGAATAATAATTGTGAATCCAATCCCACATGATATGCTACAAAAATACAATGCAGCTTATCAGCGTTATGTGCATTATCAAGAAAGCCAAGATTCCTGCCTTTATCCCTTCACGTAAAGAAGTGGTGCCACTTAGCTCCCCTGCATTCACATACTCACTTCTGCCCGTGCCAGTTGATGCTGAGACATTAACCGACAAAGAACCTAAATTGATAAATTCGAATTGCAAAAATTAGAATCTGACGTTAAAAAGAGAAATCATAGCTTGAACCTGAAGCAACCTTTAAAATGTAAGCCCAAGTGTCATCATGGCATCTAATCCAATGTAATTCCTTTGTTTAAGAAAATGAGCAAGCTTATACAAAAAGATAGGTTAGAGTCTTTAAAATCTTAGCCTCCCTATTACCCCTAAAATGACCACTTCGTTGAGGCATGGGGATGGAAAATAAATTATTTGGGAGCTGGGAGGGTCTTGAAATTATATAGATATTTATTATATATGTTGTTTTCCAAAATGCCATTCTTCATCTTAAAAATAAAAAATGCCATTCAGAATACGGCCTTCTGGCAGTGTAGCTGAAACTTACAATCGTAGTTAGCCCATCCAATGCGCTGACCAGCCAGATCATAAACAAAAATTTTGTCTTTTAATACAAGATCTGCAAAATAAAAATTGGAATGTCCTCAGCATCTAAATTTTGAAGAGGATATTGGGATGTATTTCAGATGATAAACAATTATTCACGCAAAAGCTGATTTGATCTCCTCACAGGTTGAGCCTAGAAATATACCGTTATGAATACCCGCAACAACAACTTAAAGCAAATAAATAAAAAGTCAAAAAGAAGGGGAGGGGCCATAGTTTCATGTTAAACCATATGCCGCAAAAAACAAAAAAAATGAAGCAATTTTAAATTTTAAATTATAATTTTAGCCTCAGATATTGAGCTGCACTTCATTTTTGTATCCTTGTAAGATCTCATAAACCCAAACAACATATAAATTTTGCATTGTTTTATAATGGCAATTTACCTCCTAATATTGTTATTCCCTGACCCTGAATTTTCTGAAAGCCAATACACCACATTGCTGCACCACCCTGTAACATAAATTAACCATTGCACTTAAGGAGTTGACATGTAGTTCTAATATAAAGGCAACATATATAGTTCGCCCAAGCTGCCAGTGATGTTGGGAGACCCAACAAGAAGAATTAGCTCTGAATAGTGAGGTACCAGATTTTAGATTTGAAGTGACTTGTTGAAAGAACTTGAAGCAAAATGGGGGTTTCCTAATTATATGCCAAGCCGAAAGCAAGTAAAGCACAAGATATAATTGTAGGCATAAATAGAGTGCAAAAGGCACCTCTGTGCCAGGTTTCTGGGAGATTAGTTTGGGGGATATAATGTACTGCAAGGCATTATTAGATGATTGCTGAATAAAGTAATATCAAAATTAAACTTTTTTGGGGCAACCAGTGGAAGCAAAGGAAAGAATCAAATCGTTAATTATACAAATTCTTAATCCACAGGCAAATGCAACTCACTGAAACTTGAATTGTGTTCGCAAATTGTCTATGCCAGACTAGTTTCTAGAAAATTAACGCCCGAATACTTACAATTGAAGTCTGCTGTATGAGGTAGTCCTGTGGTCTTAAAACCATAGACGCACCACCGGCAAAGTTCAGACTTACTAGAGGAAAAATATCAGAGATGCTGAACACAGAATAAACAAAGAAAGCGTCAGGATCATCTATTTTGAGAAGCTACCATACACACATGGATTTTTTTTTTTGGGGGGGGGGGGTCAGGTAAAGATGATGTATTGCATGTTCAACCTGGTGGTGATTAAGTAGCATTGGTTCCCACGGGAAAGGACAGTTCGTATGGATTGTGGAACTGTAGCTGTAACCTACGTGAAAATAGCATTTTTTATATCAATATTGCCAAAACTTTGGCCGAGTGAAAAGCATAACAATTTGATCCATGAAGCAGCAAAGCTATTCTTAACATTGATAAACTAAATCACAAAAAATTACCTAAATGAAACTCACCGCACTGACAAAGGGATCATAAGCCTCTTCTGCAAGGTATGCCAGAGTTGTTCCAGAATCAATAATGGTACCTCGGTTGCTTGATGTTGCAAAAACAGATGAATCGATGGATAATATTTGGCCATTGACTGCGATACTCTGCAGATTTAAATTGTAATGAGGCCTGAAATTTTAGCCAAAGAAGCAGTTAGTCATAATGCTTTCCCCGGGGAAGATTCTTGAGTCATTTTCGTACAAACGCCATATCTGGGTAACGAATAAGTTCTCAAGTTCCTGTTCGACTTCTGTATAATATTTAAGGACACAGTTATGAATGCACATGTTTGGTAAAAAAGATTGTAATCTTTGACTGTATCCTAATATCTAAAATTGTGCCTGAATTGTCATCATTAAATTTCAAGTCAATTTCAAGAGTTCTCCAAGCACTGGATGACACCCAGAGGTGGTTAAAGATTATGGTAAATCACAGCAAAAGGTTACAACAACAGCCACTAGTGCAAGCTTAAAATTGGTGTATCATGATACCATAGGCCTACACACATCTCTATTGATTATAACCGCCTTGAGGCATCTTTCTCAGAGTCACATTCATAAGCAGTGTGCTAGACACTATAAACTGAGTCCAACTTTCAAGAACAACTGATGATTGAAACTTCATTTCGATTTACTAGAGGACTATATGACGTCCGCAAACACCAAATGATTTTCAGTATACAATATTTTCCATCTATCAATACAACTGAAACTTCTATAATAACTCTCTAGTTCTATGTAGTCCAGAGAACCAAGGGAATCGATCAAGAATTTGGATTTATAAGCAAAATTTATCACCAAAAGAAAGAAGATCATTCTGAAATTCCATGAAACCGTTACTAAAATAACAGTTTGGTACATGAGAAAAAAAATGTAACAGATTAGAACGTACTGCGACGGAACAAGTGGAGTATAAACTATATTTGGCTCCACAATCTCACCAAGAACCAAAATGCCCCCACCAGTGTTATCTCCTTTCAGACAGTGGGAGAACACTCTTGGCGCCATGCCTTGTGAGGCAAGCTGGGAAACGACAGACATCTGCTGTTGTCCAAACCCGAATATCCCATCAACAGCTCTATCAGACTTTGTCAAGTCACCAGTCTGCTGGATGCTACACCTGCTCCATAATATACCGTACAACGAAATCATTTTTATGTTCAAACCATCACAAGAAGTTAAATAATAGAAGAGATACTGTTTTCGTCTAGTTCAAGCCTTGTGATAGCTCACCCAAAAACTACAGGGGCTGAAGAATTAGAAGTTACAGATCCCTCAAAAATGGTATTAAAGTGCATCAAGTCAGACACATAATAGCCTGATGTCCCGCTGCCATCTCCGTATTGGAATGTGTAAGCACACTGGTTGTTCTGGCTGGCACAGCTAGCATCTGATGATTGAACTCCGGTTCTGCATCTTTGGTCAGAACAAGAGATCGATGAAGCTGTTGAAGAACTCCCAGGGTCAAAAAAATTGAGTTGAATCTGTAACAAGATTTAACAATGATATTGACAAATCCCATCAGTATATTCAATCCCATCGTTTCCCAAACTTGATCTTGAATTTATAAACTAGGGAAAGCATTGTTTTACTTGGAGTCCACTTGTCAGAGGACAGCCATTGCAGGAGCGGCAACCAACCCAGAGAACATCACTGCCAGTGTCAATTTGCACGTAGTATTCTGTTGGAGGAGAGCCTAACTGCACTTTGGTATAGTAAAGCCTGAAAGAAAACCGACGCTCGTTAAATTTGGATCGACCGAATAAGAACGAAAGAAGAAATTTTGTGAAAGGAGGCAGTCCCAGCAGAATTAAACAAAATATTAAGTGCTGGAAAGAGGTCAAAGAACCAGCCCAGCCAATATTTGGCTTTAACTAAACAATAGGAATCAGGAATCAGGAATCAAGGAAAGCCAAAAATTAATAAATCCGAGACGCCTGTACGATAGACCAATCAAAAGGAAAAACTCGACGCAAAAATCTGAAGGCTCACTATTCACAATTCTGATTACAATCCAATTTTGAAAAGCTTTCAAAGTGATTCAAGGACTCGAAATAATCGGAGAAATGCAACGGAGCATGAGATAGCGAATTAGAAACAAGGAAGGAAAAAGGAAGAGCACAATTCAAAAGCTTCTAATAAAACCAAAGAGAGAGTCGACAGAATTACCCGACTTGGAAGGGATCGAAAGTTCCTGAAACTGAGAAATCGACCACACCGTTTGAAGACTGCGACATTCTCCGATGCCTGAGGCTGTCCCGAGCTCTCAGCTGACTCAACTCCACTCCGTGATTGGACGGAAACGCCCTCTCCAGAGTCAGAGACGCCGGAAATCCAAGAGCTATGGTTGCCGCCAATAGCAGAGCAACGGCGAAGAGAAAAGCGGAGGCCATTTTTTGTCGGTAAGTTACAATTTAGCCTCCCTTAGAAGAAGGGAAAGCAAGTAAGCTGGAAAATAAACAGAAAAAAAGTGACTAATCCAAACGCAGAACTACAATATAAGAACGAGGAGTAGAATAGAGGAATGACTGAGGAAGCAGGATTTGCGATTCATCATCATCATCCCAATTGCAGGGGGAAGAGGAGGCTATTTGAACATGAGGGAAACTTCCAAGACAACAGCCGATAACAGAAGTTTCAACGACGGATTACGTAAAGTTACTACTATGTCTATTATTATTATTTTATAAACCTTTTTCTGACTAACTACGACAACGCCCCTCCAATTCTTCTAAATTACGTAGCTTCCCTATCATCCTTTTTCTTTTTAACATGCGTTCGTTCATGAATTAAATGTGATTTGACCGCTCATTTTTATAATTGATTCGAAGTGATTAAGAGTTTTTCAGTGCTTATCTTATTTAGATTAATAACTATATCACATCGATTTCTTTTAACATCACGTTGATAATTTAATCAAGGTAACAACTACCACCTCCGATTCTAATTATAAAAACTAGTTAACTAATTTAAAAAGATTCAAAAAAAAATTAAGTTAGTTATTTGTAATAAATAAGTATTTTTTTTCCTAAAATATCCTTACTAATCAACTACATTGGCTAGGACTACAATTATTAGAAGGACTATTTTGGAAAAAAATACATAAATATGAGAGACAAAGTGGATTGGGGTCTTATATTTAGAACCAAAATAAAAGTCAAACAAGGTCTTATATTAAGGACCGGAGGTAGTATATCACATCGATTTCTTTTAACATCACGTTGATAATTTAATCAAGGTAACAACTATCACCGCCGATTCTAATTATAAGAACTAGTTAACTAATTTAAGAAGATTAAAAAAAATAAGTTAAGTTAGTTATTTGTAATAAATATATGTTGTATTTCCTAAAATATCCTTGCTAATCAAGTGTATTGACTAGAATTATCATTGCTAGAAAAATTACTTTGGGAAAAAATATATAAATATAAGAAAAAAATAGATTAGATTCTATATTTAGGATCAAAATAAAAGTCAAATAAAGTTTTATATTAAGAACCGGAGACAGTATAAATTAATTCTGTATTGATTATTTTTTTTAATTTTCAACTTCACAAACACAAAACGAATGGATACAAGTCGTACGATATGACTTGATTTTTCTTCTCCTTTGTTCTACATTCGTTAGATTTTTTTGCCTAAATTTTATTCCAATCTAGCTCTAAAAAATTAAACAAAACAAATTAGAATTTTTATTATTGTATTAAAAAATCAGAATATTTGCCTCAAAAGAATTACTAATTCGAATGAATTTGACTTTTGGTCAAATTATGACAATTGGCCACATACGTCCATTGACAAATTTTCCGTTTGAATTGACGAGGTCGAGATGTTATTTTCTCATAAGGATTTCTACCCAAGCAGAAATCCTCATGGAACGATGGCCAAAGAAAAGATCATGGAACTTCCCGCCAAAAGATAAATAGCATGGAAAACTTGCACAATAGGATCGTACTTGTATATAATATGGAGCCAGCGGCTTTTTTTTTTTTTTTTTTTTGCCACGGCCGAAATATTAACAAGCTGAGGTGAGATATGATAGTTTGGTCATATTATCGGGCGCGTGAACGTAATATCTCCTTCATTTGATTGCACTCGGAATTTAGATTTTTTTTAAAAAAAAAAAACAAGGGAGGAAAGTGGTTGAGAACTTGTTCGTATCTGGTAAACAGCATGTTACATAATCATGTGCGTACCCAGGACGCGTTTTTTGTTTTTTTGAATATTCCATTCCTCCGTTTAATATGTCAGTCATGAAATATTTAATAAAAACATCTTTATGATCTTTTCCTAATGAACACCCTCAAAATCAAAATTTACCTGGAGACCTAAGTATGTCAACAAGAATAATCAAAACAAGTTGAACGGACAATTTCAAAATTGTCGTAATAACCCTTCAAATGATTTTGGAGTCAGATTTTTGATCTGACGGTGTCCATCATATGATCACAAGATGGGGAAGGGCAGGGGATCCAAACGCAAACAAAGGGGTGGGTGGGGGTGCCTCCAGAAGGTGACCCAATTGGGAACGTGTGCCCCATGATGCCAGTGCGTGTTGAGATGCATTCACCAGAAAGATTTGCTTCGATTCCTCAGTTTACGTTCACACCAAAGTTGTTCACATCATCATCTCTACGTATCCCAGTCATTGATTCAATCCTCGTTGCTCATTTTGTCTATAGTGAGAAAGATATTTAACAACCATCAAAATTAAGCAAATTTTAAAATAGTCCAACGGTATTATATAATAATAGCGATGTACTTAGAGAATTTTATGAAAATAATATTTTTGTCAAATTATCTGACTATTCTTGTATGAATAAAAAAAAAAGCCCCACTTCATTGCCAACAACAAAAGTTATGGTAAGGCCTATCTAAAATCATGTTTAAAATTACTTATAAATACGTTTTATATAAGTTAAGATAAAACTTCTTTTACGTACTTACCTCATATTTTATAAATTATAATTTAAAAACCATCTATAAGTTATTCAAAATGGATGGTAATTAAAATCTTCTAGTCGTCTTATGTAATAACAATTGCTGTTTTTCTAAAATAAAGCAAACTTTTATTTATAAGCTGCTAGTCCCCGATAATTTTTATATGGCAGGAGGTGGATTTTTTTTTTTAATGAAAGGATGGTAAAGTAATTTAGTAAAAAAATAATTTCATAAAAATTAGGCCATATCGTGAGACTATTTTAAAATTTGCTTAGGTCCTTATACACCTTTCTGCCTCGTATGCTTACCCAAACCATTCAATTCCTTTTTTTTTTTTTGGGTTAATTGATGCAACTGAACTGAGATGTGCTTGTGCAAGAGATTCCGTTTGACCCAAAAAAATGGTGATGTACTTAAAGAATTTTATGAAAATAATATTTTTGTCAAATTATCTGACTATTCTTGCATGAAAAAAATAACCACTTCATTGCCAACAACAAAAGCTATGGTAAAGCCTATTTAGAATCATGTCTAAAAGTATTTATTAATATGTTTTACATAAGTTGAAATAAAACCCATTCACATACTTACATTGTCTTTCATAGATCACAATCTAAAAATTGCTTATAAGTTATTTTAAGCGGATTCTAATTTTATGTAATTACAATTGTTGTTTTTCTAAAACAAAGCAAACTTTTATTTATAAGCTGCCTGTTTCCCGAATATTCTTACACGGCAGGAGGTGGAGTTTTTTTTTTTTTTTTTCCAAATGAAAGGATGGTAAAGTAACCTGGTAAAAAAAAAATCAAAATAATTCTTACAAATTTCATAAAAATTAGGCCATTTGGTGAGACTATTTAAAAATTTGCTCAGGTCCTCATACGCCTTTCTGCCTTGTATACCCAAAACCATTCAATTGTTTTTTTTTTTTAATTGATACAATTGAACTGAGATGTGCCTGTGCAAGAGATTCCGTTTGACCCAAAAAAAAGGATGCTGTGCAGGGGTTGTGATTCTGGTTCTGCTACTGTTTCATAATAAGTACTACCTCCGATCCTTAATATAAGATTCTATTTGACTTTTATTTTGGTCATAAATATAAGACCTGAATCCACTTTGTCTCTCATATTTATGTATTTTTTTTCAAGATAGTCCTTCTAATAATTGTAATCCCAGTCAATATAGTTGATTAGTAAGGATATTTTAAGAAAGTTAATACCTATTTATTACAAATAACAAACTTAACTTCTTTCTTTAATTTCCTCAAATTAGTCAACTGGATTTTATAATTAGGACCGGAGGTAGTATCAATATCAAGAAATGCCCACTTAGTGATACGAATTTTGTTAAAGACGTGAAAATTATATCCTGTAATGTTCCCTGTGAAATGTGAATTGAGACGTCCTCCCAAGAAAATACTAGAGGCTTAAAGACCGGATATTAAATTATGCCGGAGAGGTCGGCTTTTTGTCTTAGATGAAGCACCGGGCCACGACAATTCAAAACCAAAAATTACTGTACAAGAAAATTAAACTGATTAATTAATAATTCAAATGAAAAATAATCAATTCCTCTTTCTCGGTAAGCAGTGAAAAATAGTAATCACTGAAAATGTTAATAAATAATTATTCAGCTGGAAATATAAATTCGTGGCAGCCTGCTTAGCGATTAAGTCATGGACAACTTTTCTTTTTCTCTGGAAAAAAAAAAAGGGGGAATGAAAATGTTGGTCAAAATCAAAATCACTTTGAAAAAAGACGGGTATTGACACTTGTCATTTATTAATTGATTGGCTTTTGTTTTGCCCCAAAAACTTGCTCTAAAGTACAACAGGTACAACCACAGCCACTTGTGGAGCGCCCTCCCGTTCTTTTTTAATCCTTTTATACCGACGGTTAAAGCTGCCGCTACGCCTTCCGTCCTTCCCTCCAATTCCTTCTCCACCGCTCGCGGTGGGCCTCCCATCTAGTCCTTGTCTCCATATCCTTTTTCTTTTCTTCAAATTACTACTTTTTTAACATATTTTAAGGACACAAGTGCCCTTCCATTTTTAAACAACTATCAACTTATTAATTTTTCAGGATCTTAAAAGAGATTGAGTTGTGAGGATATCTTTTGTTTTGATTTACTAATCATATTGATAGATTTGGCTCTATGCTTGGTGACCTAATTTGTTATCTTTATGAAATAATTAAATTAATTGCCACTCATACGTTTAGGATTAAATGAATCCCCAAACTGGGAAGATATAAGTTGAGGAAGATTAGTTAAATAGCCAGGCCAAATTGGGGCTAGTGCATCATACAATTAGAATATACTACCTCCGGTCCTTAACATAAGACTCCGTTTGACTTTTTGTTTGGTCCTAATTATAAGACCCCAATCTATTTTTTCTCTCATATTTATGCATTTTTTTTCAAGATAGTCCTTCTAATAATGATAGTTCTAGTCAATACACTTAATTAGCAAGGATATTTTAGGAATGACAACACTTATTTATTACAAATAACTAATTTAACATACTTCCTTAATCTCTTCAAATAAGTCAATTGGGTCTTATAATTAGGACAAGAGGTAGTATAAAATAAATTAGAAACTTGTGGAAAGGGAATAGTGTTTGCCGTGAAAATAACGTGAACAGTTAATATATAAGACCCGTGCCAAACATGGAAGCTAAACCCCTCCGGGGGGAAGT